GTCGACAGGCTTCGGCAGGCGTCGTCCCAGGGTGGGCAAGTGGGTGGCTCAGAGTAAGCATGAAACCGGTTGGACTGATACGAGAAGCAGGCGGCTATGGCATGGGAAGCTGGTAGGACTGGATGATCTCGATCGCAGGCATCTCTCACGATCGCCCAAGAGAGAAATGTTCAGGGGGTAACGTAGAAGTGAGGCCGCACGTGTTGGTGGGTCCTGGTCTGGTCCTGTGGGCTCAATAGGTTGGCGTTTGGCATGCTATATTTAGATGTGCGACGTTACCCGTGAAAGACAAAGCGCATTCGACGACCGCCCTACCACGTAGTATCCTCTCGAGTAGCGCTGAAGCTCCTGGAGTGACGGCGTGAGTTCTTGCACCCGGCGCACCGCGGACATCTACAATCTCACCGCTACTACAATGGTTTCAATTCTGTGACGCTGTACAGGCACATGCGCGTAGTGGGAACGAACGGGACGGTGTTTGCGCTCGGGGATGCATCCAGCGTACAGGGGGTCAGGCTGCCAACAATCGGGCAGGCATGTGTGGCTTGAGGGCAAGACCAGGACTTCCGTGGGCGTTTGTTGGGATAGGTTGTTATCGACAGCAAACACGCTCTTCTACCGCTGCTTGTGTTGCGAGTCTGTGTTCTCCTGCGCGTTTTCACTGTTCCACGGCCGGCCACAGTGTTTCAACTCTCTGCTGTCGGTGTTGGGCTACACTTAAGCTTGAGAGTTTTCTGTGACGAACATCTCTCTGATGCGGTCGGTCCACGAAACGTCACCCCACTCCTCGCAAACGTTTGTCTGTGCCGCCCACGCTCGACAGGTGGCCGCTCAAGAGGCGCGTACGTGGCGCGGTTGCTCAACAGGGGCTACAACACGTCGGTTGAAGCGGCACCAACGGTGCGCAGCGTGTTGGCGTCTTCTTTCGTCCACGTGCACCTAGCACTATTCTGTAGAAAGAAACATGGCTGGGCGTCACCCGAGTTGGTAATGACTGTATGTTTTCGCAGCGGGTACACGTTATGATCTACGAATGAAACTGACATCGCTGTGATCGAACACGGTTGACGGCCTTGGTTCCGAGGACCACATCACGCGACAAAAGCTGTTTCTTGTCACACCGACGTCCTGCTTGTTGCCCTTCTGCCGAACCTTTGCCGGAAAGATGACAGGGTACGACAGCGGTCGTACGGCTAATGCAATCGATTTGTTTAGGCTCAGGGGGCGCCTGGAGGCGCTCCCGCTCCACTTTATCAACCTCGGAGTTTTGGCACACATCGGAGTTGGACAGGTGAGACTCGACAAGGCGGGGGCACTGGCACATCACATTTTGCCCTTCGGTTCGATTTTGAAAAATCTACTGCGGGAACCTCGCATCTAGTATCTTATGCACTTTCATGCATCAGCTTTCACTTGAATGTTGCACTCCGGACGAGTGTGTTGTCCTAGGGGGTTTTCAGCAAGCCAAGAAGGGACTGTGTCCATGACGTTGCCAGTAGTATTGCTCGCTGATCACCCGGCCAGAGTATGCGGAGGAGGTGACCTGATCGCCATGTTTTCATACTCAAGCTGTGGTCCGCTCTTGACCTCAAACCCACCTTGTACTGTGCTGTAGTGGCGCCTCTAGGAATTTGCGAGAGAGATCCAAACTCCGCAGTTCAGTGGGACACAGTGCAGACTATTCGATTTGAATTCGCCTTTTGATATCTCACGTTGCACCGAAGCGGTCACGGTTCCTTTCCACCCACCTTCGGTCTGTCCACCGCCTGTGATGCCGTTTTCCATCGGCCATGCTTGTCCATGGCAGGCGGTCGCGGAAGTAAAGGTTGGGCAAGACACCCCGGTGCTCGATGCCGCTGGGAAGGCAGGGTTTTTCCTGTGGCGCTCGACATACGTCGTTAAGCAGGCAAGATTTCCATTCCATGGGCATCCACCAATGCGTGGTAAACCTGAGGCCACACCAACGCTGGTTGAATGGCAATGGGGTATGAAATTGAAGTCGGCGAGTGGACATGGAAAGTTTTTTTTGTACTTTTGTTCCACCAGTTGATCCTTCTCCTGTGCCTCCATTGCTCACAGCGTACCTGCCCAGGTTATTTCGAACTCCAATAACGTTGCGACATCACCCGTCACCTCCTTCGCCTGGTATTTTATCAGCGTTTTGTTTGGCAGTTCATGTTCTCGGTGAAGGTTGCAGTGTAGCTGATCTCCTTCTGCTTGCGTGCGAAAGTCTTATACATCACCCGAGCCGCGTGTCAGCTTTTGTCCGGGTCGCCGGTACGCCGCGGGAGGCAATGCTCCCGCAGCTTGTTGGACACCCAGGCGCTATTTGGTAAGCGTTGTGTCTTGCTGAATGTCTCCAGCGGGCGCGAGGCAGAAGCTTGCATCGTGCGAGCTAATGGACAGCGTCGTTGAGTGCGTTTTGGCTGCAAGGGACGTATTGCTTGTCGAGCGGTGGTGCTTGACGCCAACCTGTGCCCTATTTCCCCCTTGTGCGTTTTACCGGCGTGACGAATGAAACGTCCCCTTCTCTCCGCGTCTGTATACGGGAGGCACTCGCTGTTGCTAAGTCTTTGATGTTATTCGTCCAGCATCTGTTTCTCGTCTATATGTAAGTGTTCGAGAGATGTGACGCATGTTATGGAACACCCTGCCCTTGGCCGGTTCCTCAGGTCAGCGTTCGCAACCGCAGTAACGTGGCTTTTGACTGGCTGAAGATCCGGTTCTTCGGCGGGGATATCACCCGACCTTGACGCGGATGGATGCTGCGTCGACCGCCCGCAAAGCCCGGTTGTTCCTCACGACGTGCCCCCTCTCGTGTTCATCGTGTTTCGCATTCGATGGATCGCATGGCAGTGGTCGGTTGACATCATCTCAGTGGTAGCGAACGTTCTGAAGCACCCTTTTTTGCCGTGCTGGTGTTGTGTTGTGGAGGACAGGCAAATGGCACTACATGTGTTTTCTGTTGCTAACCGTGGGGAAAGGTGCGAAACGAATAGGCGAGACAGGAACGCGCCCTTTCGTACGTTTTGCATATAGTCATGATGTGGCGGGCATGCAGCAATGCAAGGCAATCGACCTCCAATCCCCCGAGTGTCGTCCCCGATTTGGCGATTCTTGTCAGCTGGTGCCCTTGTGCATGTATCTACGCAATATTCTCGTGTGTATCACTCGTACATGGTCCCAGGGTACATGGTCCCAGGTATAAAGAAGTAAGAGTCGAAGGGACGTTGTTTTGTCGATGCAATCGTGCTGTTGATCCGAGGCATTTCAACTTCCTGCGTTCGTGTTGTGCTGTAAAGCGAGAGCATGTACCGTCGAGAGCTCCACCTTGCTCCGTGCCCTGAACTTTGGAGCCACCAGGGGTGACGTGGTCGACGGGGGGGGGTTCATCACGGCCAAAGACATACCCAAGCCAAGTGGTTCTTTTCTTTGACAATCGCAGATTATGTAACAGCAGCAGAGTGTTACTGTTGTCGAGCGTGTGATTCAATCGGCTCGCGTAGCCACGTTGGGTTCTGCGCAAACTCGAATCCCAGCGTGACATACTCGTGTTTCAGTGTTGGAGAAGTGGTATCTGCAGCGAGTTGGTTCCGGAACATCTGTTCGGCTTCTTGAGGCGTCGATCACCGTACATGCTCAGTCAGATGTATAGTCTATGGTTTTTTCCTTGTGTTTTTTCGTCACCAGGTCTTGACGTATGTATGCGTTGGTGTCGATCGGCGCCATGCTTTTTGCTGCGCTGGCCGGTGTCGATCCTCTTTTAAATGGTACCTGTGTAGAATTCCGGAGATGGACGGATACATGTTCACGCCGCGGTGGCGCTGACGGGCAGAGCGCATGCATGACCTGCATGCACCAGTGGGACACATACCTGTGACAATTGCTGGCAGGCACGAATGTGGCGTTCCAAAACAAACGAAAAGGGAATTTTGGTGATGTTTCGATGTTATGCTAAGGGATGGTTGTACAAACGGCAAAAAATAGTCGTCGTGGTGGAACTTAGCCACTTGTTGCATAGCGTCTCTTCGAAGGTTCGAGAAGTGGTCGATTGTGTCTAGAGGGCACGTGCAAGTCGCGTGAGGAAGTAGTGGCTCCACAATGCCGCAAGGTCGGGAAACATCGGCATGCTCGAAAGACTAGTGGAAGGATTTGACTACGAAACAAGCGTGAACGATAGTGTAATGAGACGGGGGATCGAGGCTGGCCACAACGAAGTTCTGCGCTGGGTCCGCGGGCGCATCGGGTCTTGAGAATTCATGAGTAGATCGGAATGGGCCGATAGCATGTGGCGTAGTGCTGCTTATGCGGGCAGCGCAACCACGCCTCGCTGGGGTTGGGGGTTTGCTAGACGCTCAGACGTGCCGACCACTACGTCAAGTACCATAGCTTCTTGGGCTGTTCTTGACAACAGGATCGAGGCTCTTTGCTGGTTGCACGGCAAGGGTTTTTCGTTCGGCGAGCATGCGTGGAAAATGGGTGTGCGCGGACGGAACGAAAGCGTCATATCATTTCGACGCGAGATACATTGTCCGGGTTTGTATTACAGAGGAACATAGTAGTCAGAAGCAAACCCGACTACCATGACATGTTGAAACCAGTTTCTAATCTCCATCCTGGCAAGGGACGAATTCCCCAACTTCCTTAATGCAGAACCAAGTGTTCGGCCCAGCTAACATTTACCAATGATCAATACCCTTTCCTACAATTATTGATCGTAGCCTATCGATCTCTGTCGCAACAAAAGCTATCGTCACCGTTGTCACCCGATGAAAGACTACAACTGGCTCTCGACACAGATCAGTTGTACACCGTCTCATACGGTTCTCGTCGATATCTTCCATGTCCCCCCCCGCACTCCCCTGGACACCTCCTGAAGGTTCTGTATTCATCGACCATACCAACACTCGAGAAGCCACAGCACAGCTCTAACAAGAACCTCTCGAGGACACGCATGGTGTCCCTCCTTGGCCCTAAACAAGCCGTTGCCAAACAAAACTATGTTCTTCCTCTGTTTCTTGTCAAAGTTTATTCGGTTAGTCAGCTTGTCAACTGTACTTCTCGTCCCCTGGTCTTGTACATCCGAAAAGCTGTCCTGTCCTTTCTGTTCTCCCTATAGACTACAGATGATCTGAGATTGGTTTCTCTCTCTTTCTTGTTTCGGTTTAAGCGGAGAAATGATCTGAATCGTCGTTGAGGCACCTTTTAACATGAGACTTTAGGTTGGACTTGAACGTGCCCACGATCATCGTTTTGGCCACCGTGGCCATTTCGTTCGTCGCAGACTCCTTTGTCCTCGTCTTGAACGTGGACGGACCGGGGTCGACCCAATCGCAGCAGCAGCTGATGAACGTGGATGGGCCGATGGAGTCAACACAGCAGCAGCAGCAGCAGCAGCCGATTGACGCGAATGGGCCGACGGTGTCGACACAACCGCAGCAGCAGCCGACGGAACGGGCTCCCATGTGGACAGTAGCGAACGTGGGCACGACCACTGAAAGCAAGGGCCGCGATGCAACCAAGAGGGTACCCAAAGCTGGCAAGGCTAAGGCTGGTTCGATAGCTCAAGGTGCACAAACGGCGCGTCCGGTGGCCCACTAGGGTCGTTGCGAAGGAAAACGCGCGCATACTTGAAGCTTGTTTGGGTGATGATGAGCTGACCGACTTCATGGAAAGAAGCAAGGCAAAGGCCGATGAAAAAGCGGAAGAGATCGAGGGTACGTGTTCCCGTGCGGGGAAGGAGCCGCCCCATGCAATCACATCGATCCCTCTCATCGCCAAACTACTCACTCCAGGGTTATGCGATGACCCTGGGTTGGTATCGAGATCTTGGATGGAGTGTATTTCAACCGGAGATCGAGCGTTACTTCAACGGGGAGTACGTGTTCGATCCAAAGAACATCGGGGTGGTTTTGGGCAAGACCAAGGTTGAAGTCAACGGCAAAGAATTCGTGGTGGAATCATTCGATTGAGGCGAGTACGTTCTGTTGGATGATAGCATAATGCATCAGTGGGGTCTCCTGGAGAAACGGACCGACGGCGTTGTGACACTGGAAGCCGAGCAACGGCGGTTCGTTATCCACCTGGTCACGACGTACGTGAACATGATAACTCATGTCGTGCCGGCTGTGATACAAGAGTCCTGTGAAAGCATGACGAAAGACATGCTGCGGAGCCCCGAAGAGACTCGCAAACATGAGAGGAAAACGGAAGGAGGAGCTGGACCAAATCATCAACCGGGTGAACACCCTGCGGGACCTGATGCTGAGAGTCTTCACCGATGCCGCCGTGAAGGACACCCTGCCTGCGATTTTCTGGGAGGTATATGGGAACAAGGATTTGCGCGAGTTCGCCGAAGAGACTGGATCGCTCAGAGAGATTAACTTCCTGGATCGTCTTGAGTGTGCCCACAACACCGAGTTGTCTGGAAAATCGTTCACCGGAGAGGTTGTGACTAGAGGTTTCTCTGAGCACCAAAACCAGAGCATGTAGCGGGCCCTGGCATGCGAAACTGACCAGCATCATCGAGCAGTTGACATGTGCGTATCGATTGGGCCGCTAGGATAACTTCCTGGAGGCATATTACGCGCTGTCTGAGGCGGAGATAAGGCTATTGGTTCGTCACCACAGCCACTGAAATATCAACCTGAAGTACGGTCTCAGACATCTGGATCGATTGGTATCAGCACAAACCACTGCCACCGATGCCGACCTTGAAGGAGAGAATTCGCACACGTTGCGTTTTGCTGTGAAGCGGTGCCGGATTTTTAACCAACATTGTACCAGTGTCGGTCGTTGGGTGTGGGATTCTGGACGCTGCAAAGCATGGGATTCTTCAACGGGACTCGCTGGACTCGAATTACTTCAGCCACGCGCGATTGGCAAGAAGCCCTTCACTGATGGGGAATGCTCCGTTCAGCAAACTGACGCGTGAGGCGATTGAAGCATAGGGGAAGTTGTTTGACGTTGCAAGGAATGGGAGAGTCAGAGCAACTGTTGAGAAGAGCGGGGCCGTAGGAGCGTCGGTCAAGGAGCGCCGGTTGAGGGTCATCGTGGTGGATCAAACTCCAGAGGAGCGGGAGAAAAGCATCGATACGTGCATGGCAGCTATCGCCAAGAATGGGTGCGGACGCCTGATGGACACCGTCAAGAAGCATGACCCCGGCTTCGTCGAGTGGGGGAAGGAACATCTTGCAAAGGCGAAAATAAATTCAACCATTTGGTCTAGCAGGGAGGAGTTCATCGAAAAGCCCGATGACGGCCGCTCTGAAGACAATCTGGAGGGAAAAGCTCCCGAGGAGATTAAACATGGGCAGCGGAGGGTGGCGAACCTCATGGCGAAGCTAGAGGTAGGTGATGATTTCACGTGTAAAGATATCTCCGTCTTCAGCGTGGCTCTGAAGCTGCCTGGCTGCTCGCAGCAGCCGTTTTGTATGGTGGCCAGTCAAATGTACTACGACGCGAAGGAGAAGAGGATCAAGATTCGGCTGCTAGACGGAAAGCAGACGAATGAAACCAAGCAAGATCCCTCGAGATTTTGCATGGAAAATGAACTAGAGGGTGGGGAGGTCGTGGAGTAGAGGGTAGTGATGGCACTGCTCGGGCGGCCGTTTCTCAAGAAGCACAGCAAAGGTGTTTTGGACAAATCACTCGGTCCACTGGGAACGGACGGAGAGGTAGTGACCGAGTATGTATTTGGCGTAGTGCTGGACTCGATCGAAAAGGCCCGGATTTCAACGATCTTCGGACCGTGCAAGAGTCGCTGGCCGCCGTGCGTATGACCGAACTGGGAATCCCAAAGGATTTCATTACTAAGGACGAGCTGTCTCGGCAGATGAGGACTTCAAACGAGGCAAGTTTTCTGTGTGTGTCGTGTGTGTGGTTTTGGAAGCACGTAGTGCTTTGTGTTCTCTAAACTCGCGCCGAATGCGCCTCCCTACAGGCAGGCCATCGCAAAACCTCACACCCACGCGAAAAAAAAGAAACGACTCCACCTGCGCCTGCACTGCCATCTTGAACAACGGACGATATCCGTCCGCACTGTCTCCTGCTGCCACCCTCTTGGAGTGCTCTCCCGCCACCGAACTGCCAGCCGCTCCTTCCGCTCCATCCGTGCGGACCCGCTGTTTAACGCCCTCCTTGTCCTCCGGGTGGCTCCCCGGCGCTACTACGCGCCCTGGAGTCGCGGTCGTAGCGGTGGCTGCAGAAGGTGTAGCGGCTGCTGTGGCGGCTACCGCTGCGGGCGCCGGGGGGCGGGGCGGGCGCGCCGGCGGCCGGCGCGGGGGCCGGCCATGCGAGCCGGCGAAGACATGGCGACCACTGCTGTAGCCACGGGAGACCAGAGGAAAGGCGCTGCGGTAACAAAGCGCGTCGATAAACACAAGACGGCACATGTGGCGTGCGCCGCGCTGCTACCAACCCCCGGGTGTCAAACAGCCGGGTCGCCCCTGACGAGTGATCTGCTGCGAAACGTGCCCTCTCTTTCCTCCTGTGTGCCGTGTCGGCACTTGGTTCCCCAAAGCCGTGGGAATGAGAGACATCCCTGCGATACGTGTGCTTTCGTGTGCGAACGTTCCTGGAAAATGTTTGGAACATTTCCCGGACCGGTCTTCATCATACGTTTTGGTCGTGTTGCGTGTTGACGGATACGGTTTTTCCGACGGTGCATCACCGCAGCACTAGGTCGTTTTTTTTAAAGACAAAGTTTGACATTGGAGGCACCCGTACACGAGAAACAAGCTAACACGATACAAACTGAATGCTACTGAATGTCCTACCTACCATGCACCAGGTGTACCATTTTCATCGAAGCGTCACTGATTCCTTACCCCAAAGGATCAAATACATTTTGTAAAATTAAAAAACGGCGGAAACAGCTGCTGCCGGTAAAATTCAATCACCTGGAAGCTTGCTCTACTAGATCGGGAGGTGAAATAGTTTTTTGTTGAAAAACGTACCTGCAGTAGGCTCGTGCGTTGCTACACAGCATTATTACAGTATATTGATTGAGGTGTGGGGGGTGCCAATCAATGTGATGGACTCCGAAAAAAAAAACGTCTTGGAAAAAAAAGGCACCTCCACACGGACTCGAACCCTTGATTTCGAGAGTCAGGATGGCCTTGACCGAGTTCACGAAGTGAATTGGCTTTTTTACAACGTCGTTGCCAAGCGACGAAAACCCAATCTCGATGGCAAACACCCAGGGGAGGGCTTGTTTTACAACTTCGCTGCCAAACGACGAAAGCCCAACCCCGATGGCAAACACCGGGGGGGAGGGACGTGTACTCCCGGGGGGAGGGAGGGGTGTGGTACAGTTGGCGCCCGCAGTTAAGAAACGCTTATTTCAGGTCCAGCCTCGAATTCATATTGTGGACTATAAATTCAGCGTATGTCGTTCAGTTTCTTTATTAAGTTTCTAATTTTTTCGTGCAGCCAAATCCGAACCAATCCCACCCGAGTTTCACGAGAACCTCACGCTTCACTATCGACTGATCGAGGGCCGGTGGTGGAGACGCCTGCAGTCGAAACCCGTCCGGGATGTCCATCGAAAATTCGTCATCGTCGTCGAGCTAGGTCAGCGGATCCTCATCGTTGTCATCGTCTCCTGACAAGGCACAGCGGAGGCATCGTCTATTGTTGTGGCGATTCCCGAAGCGGGGACAACATTCCAAAACTCATTAATGTGTCAAGAGGAGCTTTCTTCCGCAAGGGTAATTCTTCTGTGCTCCGAATGAACGCGAAATATAATACCACTAACCATCGCTCTCGTCAACGCTGGAAGAGGCGTCTTCCGACAGCTGGTCCACGTCAACCTTGCTGGTGTCCCCATCCTCCTTGCCCTCCTCATCAGCGCTGGCGCCACCCTCCACATCCATGAAGGAATATGTGGAAAGGCCCTCGAGGTTGAATTGTCGTCCCCAGAGCCATCCGCCGTCATTCCACATCCGGTTTTCTCGAAGAGACGGATCCGATATTGCTCTTGTTTATCGATCTCCTCGGTCGCCTGTGCCACCCAACTGGTAAGCAACAAGCGACGTTCGGAACACGTCAGTGCTTTGGCCTCCCACTTTTGCAGGTTGTCTCCGCTCTCCAGCCACTTGTCCAGCTGCACCCCCACAGCCACCTTCAGCCGCCGTCCATAGCCGGCGTCGATCGGCTGGACCTCGTCCGTACAGCCTGCCGGCAGGTGCCAAAAAAACGTGTTGCACTCCTCGTACTTGCGGAATTCCTCAGTCGTCTGCCCGTGCAGGTTGTCGGCGAGAAGAAGCGACTGCTCCTCGGGCACCTTCCCGTCTACCATTCGGCTCGGGCGAAAAGAGCGCTCCAGCCATTGCATGCAGAAGTCGCTGTCGGCCCAGGCCTTGGGCTGAAAGAAGACATCTAGGCGCTTGTCGTATGCTGCCTTCTCCACCTTGGTGATGCCGGTTCCTTTGCCGCGGAAGATGGTCGCGCACCTCGTCTTTTTCCCTCCTGCTCCCGTCGTCGGTTGCACCGTGCACTGCCGCTTCTCCAAGCCGGGGAATGGCTGGCCAACATGCACACGCTTCGCCCCTCGTTTGTCCCAGGTGTCTTCCTGCCCGGTCACGAACCCCAACGGTACCTGGTCGGCGTTGTCCCTCAGCTCCTTCACGAAGTNGAGTCGAAACCCGTCCGGGATGTCCATCTTCAGCGTTTCTTCCTCAGGCGACAATTCGTCATCGTCGTCGAGCTGGGTCAGCGGGTCCTTATCGTTGTCATCGTCTCTTGACAAGGCACAGCGGAGGCATCGTCTATTGTTGTGGCGATTCCCGAAGCGGGTACCTTTCCATGATGAGCTTTTTGAAAGTGACCGTGATCCACCTTGTCGAGACCCGCAGCTTCCTCTTGCGTCGTGCCAGCAACATCTTGTACAGCTCCTTCTCCGCGTCAGGGAATCACAGCCGCCGTCGAGTGCATGTCGCCATCAAACAACTCCGCACCTTGTCAGCTGCCTGCTGCACAAGAGAGTCTTCATCCTTCTGCCATTTGCTGATATTGCTGGCCGAGATCCCTGACTTATGTTCCAAGTAAAAGAGAGGGGTCATACCGAAGCGCGCACGAACCTCCGCTGACCGCGACTCTAGATCTCGCAGCTCCTGAATAACACCGACCTTCTCGCGCGAGGTGTACCGTCTCCTCGAGGCTGCTCCACACGTTTTCTTTGGTGGCGACTCCGATTGTGAAAAGCCGTCGTTCACGAGGTTGTTGTTCCGCTCGACTCCAGGGCGTAGGGCTGCAGCACAAACGTCACGGACCCTGGCGGACATGTCGCGCCGTATCCGCGACTCTCTCCATGGTGAAACGCAACGTGCCAGCAACGTCCTGACGGTGTCCCACCCCAAGGGAGGAGAGATGATGCCCCCGCCCCCTTCCTGTTCGTTGAACACCACCGTCGAACTGAGATCTTCGCTTCACGCTCGTGGTTAGTGTTGATGTGCACCCCAAGGCCCTGGGTGTTGAAGAAACGACGGTTGCACTTCGTACAAGGCACTGTCGGTTGAGGCGGTGGAGGCGCGGCGAAATTGATGTTCGTGATCTCTTCCGTGCTGCCGTCCCCACGCGTACGCACCACCTGCACAGAAATGGGGGAGGGAGAGCATCGGAGGGCGGTGGTATTGTTCATTCCTGCTTCAGTTTATTATTATTCGTTGTTTGAAAGCTAGCAACATAAGCTCGTTCAAAAAAGAGTGCTGCCGCGGGTAAGGCCAGCACAGCAGCATGTAAGAAGACGCATGTCGAAAAGGGTTGACAAAAAAAGGGGCGAACCTGGTACGGAGGTATGCTGGCGACTTACTGCTACAGGCATGTTCTTGCCAATAAGTACGCACACTTTTCGTGCAAAAGCGGCTCAAAAATCATTTTGAGGCGGCATTTCAACAATACTAGTAAGTGTTGGGATCATTCACGTGGTTCACAGCAGCACCGGTATGACGCAAATCGAAGGCAAAGAATACCACCACGAACACAGGGATCTTTCGCCGTGGTTGACTCGTCCACAATCGCCGACGTATTTAGTTTGCCTATTTCACAATTAATTTCGCTCCAGCCGCCTCAACAGCAAGGTAGACTACGAGTTCTCGCTCA